CAGAGTTTTGCAAATATCTCAGCAACATTGTGGTTGTATTTCGCTTAGTAACCTGCCATGAAAATTATAGAAGGCAGAAAACAAAACGTTAAAATAAAGGAGGAATCTCGAAACTTGACCTGGCAAATAGATTCTCCATTGGCTATGAAATAGTAACGCCATGAGATAAGTTTAGATGGTAAGCGACCACCCAAAACGAAAAACGTGACCAAAACAAAACCCTGTTTATGTTGTTCTTCACTAGCGATGAAATAAGTTTAGCTATAAAAGGACGCTTTAGAAAGGTCGGTGTAGAGAACTCGTTAAGCGTGATAAAAATACTCTTCGTCGTCAATTAGTTCGTAACCGCCTATTTAACCGCTTATACAAAGCATAAAGTTGCGTAATTTGTTGTTATGGAAGGTAATGTGGTTACATGAGTTCAGGTGCAATATACCTGTTTTCCTAGTACATGAATATATAGACGAAATGCGCAGACCATTATGCATCCGTATAACAGAACACCTAGATGGCAAACGAAAAGCAAGACAATGTACCCCACCAGGGTCGCTTGGGATACAAAAGCATAGTGGAGACGATTTTGATATAAAGTCGCCTTCCTAGCACGAGATGCTAAAACATTAGCTGACAAACTTCTTGAGGGTTTTTGGGTAAATGCGAAGGATCCTACAATGAATAGCAGGGAGGAATGCCCAGAGGTGACACGCGACATAAACTTGCACCTTCGCATGGATTTTTGATGTGGGATGGGGCAGTCATCGACCATCTGCGACTCTAATCTGCTGTTCTTTTCTCTGCAGTGGAAGACACGTAAAAACGATGAATTTTTCGAGCTGTTGATCGTGAAAGTGCCATTTAGATAATCATCTTTCTTTTATTTATTATTGAAGCGTTTTGCGTAGTAAATTGCCTATTATTATACTCTTCCAGGCTCCGAAGAAGGCAATACTGTCAAAATGTCAACTTTAACGGAATAAAAATTAAAGTGGCACTACGTGTTTGCTCAACAAAAATTTCGAGAACTATCTCACCAATGCCGTTAATAGGAAGTCGGTCGTGGGTATTACTGTCTCCTAATTTTGTACTACGAGTATGTAAATAAACAAAAGTTAGATCGATAGAAATAGCTGAGAGACGTGCGAAACAAAGGACCCGCATGGTGTGGTGGTGAACGCGTTACTCCCCGGAAAGGATAATAGCGCGTTCGTTCCCCACCATAGACACCTGCGGTCCAGAGTTTTGCAAATATCTCAGCAACGTTGTGGTTGTATTTCGCTTCGTAACCTGCCATGAAAATTATAGAAGGCAGAAAACAAAAACGTTAAACATTGTGATTTCAACTACAGCCATAGCTTAACTGGGTTCTATGCCGATTTGCGCTCCCCAGATCAACCCCGCTGACGGGTGATTGCTGTGGCAAAAAGATCGATAGAAATAGCTGAGAGACGTGCGAAACAAAGGACCCGCATGGTGTGGTGGTGAACGCGTTACTCCCCGGAAAGGATAATAGCGCGTTCGTTCCCCACCATAGACACCGGCGCTCCAGAGTTTTGCAAATATCTCAGCAACGTTGTGGTTGTATTTCGCTTAGTAACCTGCCATGAAAATTATAGAAGGCAGAAAACAAAAACGTTAAACATAAACAAAAGTGTCAAGAAATTTCACCATTTCACTAACAATAGTAGTTTTAGATTTGGAAGAGCAACAAGGCAAATCTAGAAGATGAACTAGAGATGGCTGATCAGAAGAAAGTCGAGAACAACTTGGATGCAAATATCAAACGCTACGCAAGCCAACTAAGTCTGCGGCACGATGGCTCAGTGGGTTTTTGATGTCCTCATCTCCAACCATTGGGCTAAACCAGCCTTTTGTTCTGCTATGGTGTATAATTCGTAGAATGTTTACTCATTAGCAGAAACCAGCCGATGAACATGCTGCACCTCCGATACCCCTACTTCGTTCGTTGTCTCGAGACGTTGGGCGATTATATCCATCGCTGTCAGTAGAGGATCAAGCGAAAATTCTCGCTTACGAACTGAATAAGAAGACGGTGTGGTACTCATTTTTATATAGATGTTTAAAATGTTCTTCACTTGAAAACGAGAAAACCTTGTTAAATTGTTTAGCCGCGGGATCGTCTGTTTTACCGTATTCGAGCAGCACGAATTCTAAGCTCAGCTTTAAAGAAGAGTGAGATCGAGCGAGAGGTTGAAGAAAGTTTGATGAAATATGGCGGTGTTACCACGACCGATGGAAGAAGTGAGTCAAACGTGACGCATCATCATTTGCCATGTTCTTCAAGTTGGGGCATGATTCTTTTTCTGGGAAATACAGGTGTAGAATATAATCATGTTCCTTGAATGTAGGATCGGCTCCTCTTATCGTATCAATACTTATTGCTAATTGTGTTCTGTTAACAGCGCGCCGCCTAGAACAAATACTTCTTGTTTTAATTACTTTTCGTCCAACTTTCCAATAGTTTACCGCCTCATCGTCGCTGGGAGGTGTTCCTAGGTGTCCGACTGCAATGTACGGAGAGGGCATTCATTCTCTACAGGGACGCCTAAGCTAAGAAGGAGTCCGGTGTTTCCATCAGGAAGCCCAGCTAAGTGTAAGCCAATACCAGAAACCACCACCATCTTGATATCAAACTAGTCACATGGTAGCAAATCTTCCTCTGATCCACAAGGGCAACGATTGCCTGTGGTGGTGACGACTTGCGGCAGACTTTGAACAGGCTGGTTTCGGGACTCCAAGGAAACACAACAACTGAGCCAGGAAAACTCTGAAAAATGGAGAATATGCCGGGGCCTGCACAACCAATGAAGATGGAGTGCCCATGTACCCAAGTAAGGTTCCAAGTTACTCTACCTATAAAGATGTAAGTGTTATTTTTCAAGTTGCTTTTAAAAATGGAGTACCCTTTCCAGCTAATGGCTTAGGAGGCGGTTTATTGCTGTAAACATTGAAAGCCAGCTCGCTCTTTGACATTGTGTGTAGATCTAAAGCCCTTATTGCACAAATCTGCAGTATAATTTCAGGAAAACCGCGTGTCGAATTTTCAGCCAGAGTCTATGCTATCGAGCCCACAGACAAGAAAGTTACCCTAACGGTGTGTTTGAGTGGTTTAGTAAAACGCTTACGGGTACACACATTAGGAGAACTCATGATGTCACAACGAATTTATTCGGGCTCTTCGATATTCTCTTTTGTATAATAGGTGTTCCAAATTGTTTTAGATAGTTCGACATGGACCGTGCTCAAATCAAATAACCGTGAATTACTGCACGCAGAGCGGTGTCGCTAAAAAGCATCTGCACTTTCTGCCAAAATCTGAGACAATCATAATGGCAGCCGACGAGAAGACAAGAGATGTCTTCGTAGAGCTTGTGGATGGAGCCGATTGGCGTCCGAATCATGTTTTCTATGTGAATTTGAAGATACAGGTGCGTTAAAGGGACCTATATTTATTGAAATAATAGCCATTCTAATGAGGATTAAACGCCTAAAAAACACAACAAAGAAGTAGTGACGTTAAAGTAAGTTGTCACTACCGCATTGCAGGTAAAATATGAACAATTTTCGATGTTGAATCTCAGCGAACAAAACAAACCACTGGTAGCCATAACTGTTATTACAGGAAGGGATAACGTTAGACTGTGGTTCTCATACATTCAGAAAAAATTCTGGTTCTTAATGTTTGGAAAAATTGCGGGAAAAATTGTAGTGATGAGACATTCTATGTGGGTTCTTCTACTTCGAGAGTTTTCATAATTTTTAATCTTAGGACCAACCAGAAGGCGATAAAACCAAACTCGGCACTTGTGATGTGGCCCGAGTACGGTATCCTGACGATGCAGCACTGCTGATGGGAGTGCCTGTGGTGGAATTTGTGAACATGAGTTATGTGAGTGTTGCTTTCGTCCGCCAGTGATTATTTAATCACCTTAAGAAAGAAAAACATTCCACTTGCCAATTACTCAAACAGCGCAACTTTCACAGTTGTTAAAATATTATATGTAATGAATTCAGCTAAGAGATCAAGTGCTCCTTATTTTGTTGTACTTTCACAAAAGGATAAAACTTTTAGTGTCTGTCTGTTACTTCACCAGCCATTGGTTCTCAGGTCCTTACAACACTGTCCACTTGTGACGCAAAGGAGCTTTTCTTAGACAAGTCTGGTCTAAGTCTTCGCCAACGCCGAGGGATTAGTTTGGTCTTGGTGCCGTGTCAAACCCTATTGTAGGGCACCTCTAAGCACTGCGTTGTACACACTCTTGCCGTGCTTCGATAAGAAATTAAATACGTGGAATATCGTACCCATTTCGGATATTTATAAGTTATAGTGCAGGTCGCCAAGGAAAACTGTGGTTGGGCGCGTGTTTTCGTAACACGAAGAGGCAAAAAACATCATGGTGACAATGTCGTACATTACGAAACAACTGATATAACTGCACAAGCAAATCACGACTACACACCAGTGAAAGATGGCCGATTGATGTTTAAAGGGCAAGTGGGTCTTACAGTACCTGTTCGTTTTTTCACATACTTTTTTGTATATCATGGCTTGGTATAAACAGATAGCAGAATTCCAAGTGCGAAACTTTTGTGCTAATGTATGTACATTAAAAGTGTATATGTATTGTAATTTTTTAATTTGCAAATCTGAAGTGTACTTGACCACCAGGTGATTTCAAGACAGCTTTCAATACTGGTATGTTCAGGAGTATGAGAAGTACATCGACATCGAAATCATTGACGATAAACACGATGAGAAAGATGAGACGTTTAACATTGAGCTTACTTCTGTAGAAGATGACGGTGAGTGACCCTTAGTACCTGGAACTGTGGAAAATCAATGAAGCCATTGCGATAGGTGCGCCTGATATCAGAAACCACCATGCGGCATTCTCGGCATTACAGTGGATGTAAACTTTTATTTTTGCCCCATTTATCTCTGTCACAAGTTTTAATGACTGGAAATTTTTCTATTGATCGTTTGGGTAAAATCCTTTACACTTATCTTAACTCTTTTATTTACTGCCTTTTTCTTCTTAATGGCAAGGTATGTTTCGAATTATAGCTCGTATGAAATGCTGAGATATTTGCAAAACTCCGGACCACAGGTGTATGCAGTGGGGAACGAACACGCGCTGTTGTCCTTACCGGGGAGCAACGCACTTCACCACTACACCATCGACCCGGAATATGTCAGCATTTCATACGAGTTATAATTCTTTACACTTATTTCTTTCAAAGTATACAATTCACGACCACTGCACATTATTAGAAGTTCCATGACCTCTCTCATGTTTTAGTTTCCCTTTGTAGAGCCTAAATCACGTAGATAGTCATAGTAACAGTTATGTTTTTATGGTTGTCACTAGGCTTTTTTCTATTTAGTATAACACCTTTTCCATGCGGCTGTTGCAAGAACCCTCACTGCAGTAGAGAGATATATTTGCAAATTATTATACACTATTGGATGCTCTCGCTTAGGTACTTAGTGCATCACTTCAGAAGTTACTCTGGGCAAAAATCGTCGTGCAATCATCACAATCGTCTCAGACGACAATGTGTTGATGAACATCGTCAACGTTCACAAACTTGTCGGGCACTATATGGAGAAGATCGTACCGTATAAGACGTCTTGGATGGACCAGGTACACTTGGACCAGATTTCACTGTTTTTCTTGTGTTTCCTCTTATGTACATACTTTTGTTTTATCGTTTCATCGCATTCATCGTGTAGTCGTAGTTGATACTTACCAATATGTGTAGGCTTCAGGATGAACTTGACGTGGAAAAAAATTACCACATGAAAAAATGCTGCCTTCTTCATGAAAAAAGAAAACAAGGCTTTCTGCCGTTAGCGTTTCGATATTGCGTCTTCATATCTGGCTTGCTTTGATTAGAAGATACAAAGCTGCTTTTTTCCCGATGTTATTTTTCCTGCCAAGTTATGCTATCGCAGATTCGTGAGGCGATGTCGGTGAATGCTGGTGAGACATCAAATGCAACTCTATGTGATTGTATACTTCATGGAATTGCATTTCCATGGAAGGTTAGAGACTCTATATTTTCGTCCTCTAGATAGGATTTTTGGAGTATCTTCTGCATGAAGACATATTCCTTGAGGTGTAACGTGTTTTGTCCAGATTCACCATATCCAGCTCATTACGTAGAATCAGACTCACCGTTATACATTTTTTTAAACGTTGAATGTTGCAAATGAATGCTGAATGTTGACTGAACAGCTGACACAGTGAACAGAAAGCAGGTGAACTTTGTCCATTTTCAGTTTATTTTCTGTTTCGTGCCTCCTCCGGCGATCCTTGGCGGATGGCTGTGTTTTATAGTTGGTCTGGCACTTATTGGTCTGCTCACCGCCATTGTTGGTACGGAAATCAATTAAGTTTTATTAAAATTATAGAAGCAAAACAGTTACGGAGAAAATTCGAAACTTTCACCGTGTAACGAAGACATCATGTGCCAAATGTGTTGCTCCGTGACTTTATAGAGGAATTTGAAGAAAATAAGTCATGGATTCCTTTCGTGCTGATTTTTCTTCGTGTTTTTCGGATTTTTCTTCCGCAGTTTAGGTGATCTGGCTTCAATCTTTGGTTGTATGGTCGGTTTAAAGGACGCGGTCACTGCTATCACTCTTGTCGCTCTCGGTACCAGTTTGCCAGATACCTTTGCTTCAAAAATCGCTGCTCAAAACGTAAGTGGAACTTTTCTAGAAAAGCAATCAGTACTCTACCGTTTACAAAAAGTACGGTAGAGAAGCAATACTGTCGCAATCAATCATTGTCATACCATAGATGCCAACCATTTCTTTAATTGTGATGTTCTCTCTCATTTGAACCTTTTAGCCTTTTCTTACCATTTAGTGCTTTTTCAAATTTTGGCCTAAAAAATTATTCAAACGGCACAAGGAACGCAAATTCGCCTTATTCCACCTCTCTTCAAGTACGAGAAAAGTATTTTTTTCTTTTCTTCCTAATCGTTCGATCTATTAATCCATATCACATAAATCTTGCAGCTTACGCATGTTCAAAATTACACTAACTCTTGGGTAGCGTGGTGTGAGGTTTGTTTCTTAAAGGCTCGGATAAAAGCAAGATGTGTCAGAAAAAGCTTTACATCAATTATACGTGTATGGCTACTTTAACGCGATAGATGATTAGGTTGACCATTTGGAAAAAATTGGGAAGAAAAACAAAATAAAAACTTTTATAATGCTGAGATATTTGCAAAACTCCGGACCGCAGGTGTCTGCGGTGGGGAACGAACGCGCTATTGTCCTTCCCGGGGAGTAACGCGTCCACCACCGCCATGCGAGTCCTTCGTTTCGCCTGTCTCTCAGCTAGTTCAATCGATCTTTTTCCATAGCTAGATAGAACTAGCTAAGAGACAGGCGAAACGAAGGACCAGCATGGTGTGGTGGTGAACGCGTTACTCCCTGGAAAGGATAATAGAGCGTTCGTTTCCCACCGCAGACACCTGCGATCCAGTGTTTTGCAAATATCTCAGCATTATAGAAGTAATATTTTGCAATATACCTTGCCGTTAAAAAGAATAGGCAGTAAATAAAAAAGGTTAAAACAAAAGCTGTCAAAGTGGTCGTTCAGGACGACTCGGCCGACAATGCAGTGGGAAATGTGACAGGATCAAATTCAGTGAATGTATTCCTCGGTCTTGGATTACCTTGGTTTATTGCTGCTGTCTACTGGGCAAGCAAGGGGGAAAGTTTCAATGTTCCAGCCGCTGATCTTGGTTTCAGGTGAATCATTATTTGGTGTTATTTAAGTTACATCATATCTTCAAAGAAAGGGCTGTGCTATCTGGTTATCTAGCCATTTCGCTGTAATTTAGCACTTCAGTTCTCAGTGCACGTGCTGAAAAGTAGACATAGATGGTGTATTCTCGAAGGTTCTCCTAAATATTATTTCAAAAATAGCAAAATATCAGCGCTTCTGGCACTTTTTGAGGATTGTGCTAAGGCACCATATTCGAATCAAGCATGTCTCACTAGTGTTATGAAACTCGGAACCGGCAAGAGTTAGCGTTTACACCGTTCCCTCGCCGACGAAAAGCATCTAAACGGGACAACGAGCAATTTGGTTATAACAAGAACTGGCAATCTACCTTTGAAGGAGAAATTTACTGGGAACGTGGCTACTGCAGGCTGGGTTAGAGAAAAGAGGAGGGTAGGGTAGAGTCGCTCTCTGGTAATGAGTAGGTTACCACAGACTTCAGCTTTCTATGATGGCTATTGCTGTGAAAGAAAACGAATCAGCGTGAACTGTTTATTTCCACGATAACATTTATCATATATGCTTCAACTGATTACAATTATCTGGTAGACTTGACTGGAGGACGGTTTTACAGCGTACATCGCCTTCAAGACCAGTATCGCCTGACATTCATTTTTTTGAAGGTCTAAAGAGGTCTATTGACAGCATCGGCTTCACTAAACTTCGACGGAAACAGATTCGATATTCGATTCGTTCTTCAAATGAAGCACGCCGTTATTGTTGCAGGTGGAAACTCAGTCTTCTTGGTGTTCGGCTCTGATGATCAACCAACCTAGTGATTACATCCGTGAATGAAACAATCTTTCACTGAGATAATGCACGAGAAAAACGCAGCGAATTTAGGAATCATCAGAGTTCAGAACGACAACTTGTTAATGCAATTTAATTTCAGTGTGACTGTATTCATGTGTTGCTCTGTTATGTTTTTGGCCGTTTTGATGCTAAGGCGAACGTCAAAGCTATTTGGCCAAGCCGAACTTGGTGGTCCATTCGGGCCAAAAGCTGTCTCTGGATTCTTCTTCTTCCTTTTATGGATCGTTTATATCTCACTGTCGATTTGGAATAACTATAGAAATTGACCGTTCTATAACAACAGGCTAATGGAATTAAACTAATCTCATTTTTGAGTGTTAAGTTAACCAATATCAGTAAGAATTTGATCCGGCCCTAAGTTCTCACAGTTTTCAGACTTTGCAGCTCTATATTAATCGAGTACTGAGCGTAAAACCCTACGAAATGCCTTTTTAAATAATGGTAGGGTGACCTGTAATCCCTAAAGCAGTGGCCTAGGCATTATTATAGGATTTCGTAGGAAAAATAATTCTGCCACATCCAGACCCAACCGCAGATTTAGTTTTTCTTAGCATCTTATGGGACTTAGGTTAATAACACCATATGTTTACATTGCGTGCTCCAACCTCATTCCATGCAAAAATCTTAATTAACGTGATCTCTTTTAACTAATTTCTCATGGTCTCTGATTTTTTTGGCCAAAAAATATTCTACAGCGTAACCTGGACGATAGTTTAGCGCAACAGTTAGTGATGACTTGTAATACACGCATTAGTTCTATATAGCGTCCTAAACTCACTCAAGTAGTTTACCCCTCTTATGTCTAAGGGGATGAAAGGAGAGACTTAATACATCTGTAGGCCAGGGCCATTCATTACATAGGCCAGATATGCATTCAGCTGCCTTCACCATACTTGATAGAGTAGGATTCATTGAGCATCTAGGAGTTGATCAACGCGGTAAGTCTTATCCCACATCTTTTAATAAAAGTGAAATAAGCGGTTCAAAAACCACTATAGAGAAGTCGTTATTTCTCTGCACTTAAAGGTTACATAGTTTCCATAATTCCGACGACATATCATCGAGTGCATGCGTATTCGTTTTCTGTACTTGTGGATGGCTGGTCCAATGTCGAGCTCATTTCGTATTCAACAGCTCGATAACATTATGCAACATCTCTAGTTTGTTCTCCTAGAAACATCCGACTTTCGATTTATGAGACCAAACTGGATGAATTGTTTCGATTAGCAGGCTTTGATTTGCTAGCCGTAAGGTTGCCCTTAATTAAATTTGGTTACATCCATGCGCTCTTATCGGCAACGACACAAGCATCTATTGCTCTGTTAAAGGATGAGTCGGCTGTAGTATCGTTCTTCATTAGAAAACTAATATGATAACGATAGCTTTTACTGTCAGAATCGACGATGGTTCGCTGTAAACTACTGTCTAATAATTCCTACGGCCAACTTTCTATTAACCTCGGCATTGATCAAATAATTCTTTACGTTCTTGTTGGGCAGAGCCGAGGTGTTATTTTACATGAGATAAGTAGAACAATGCCCCATGTTTGCTTTACAAAAATATAGAAAATTATTGTCTAATATTTATTTATATGATCTTATAAACTGATTTTCTCTAGCTGATGCGAGGTTGGTACAGGTCTTCGTTGTCGTTGTCGTTGTTGTTGGTGTCGTTGGAAGGCGAAATTGCCGAAGCGTCAGCCATCGACCAACAACACCAACAACAACGACAACGACAACGAAGACCTATACCGACCTCGCATTAGCTAAAGAAGATCAGTTTATAAGGTCATATAAATAAATATATCAGCTATCTATGCCGAAGTTTATAGAAAGTTGGCCTTTCGAGTTATTGTCTAATAGCTTTTATGAATGGACGAGTCCTTTTTCTGCCTTAATCAGTTTTGCGTAATCGCTATTCCTATTGTAAACACCTACTTTCACTTTCTTTACTTTGTTGTGATTTTTCATATGCTCTGCATTTTTATTGCTAACAAGTATTTGTTTGTTTTTTTTAGAGATAATTTTGGCCTCAACTCTTCGGCCATGTGATGTGTTTATTTTATTTACAACTGATTTTTTAAATTGCTTGTTAGTGTGAACGTAAAGTTGCGGTTTAATTTATTGGCCTTCTCACACTGTATACCTCAGTAGTTGTGACTTTAAGGTTGTTTCTATCCGCTTCAATGTTTTTTTGATGAGCACAAGTACTAATAAAGTGTTTAATGTTGCGGTGATGTAACATTTTTGTATAGTTCGGTTAAATCTTTTTTTCCCAGTTGACATCTAGAATTTGGTTGTCTTAAGTTACAACTGATTGGTCAGTTAGCTGCTTCTTTTAATGATTTTCTGCTATCTCTCCAGTAATAGTATGGTTTTTGGCGTGTGAAGAATGTGAAAATTCTGTGTAAAGAACTGATTCCGATAGTTTTTGTAGGCTTCCAAAACTCTATTGAATGAGTCGAACAGACAGCATTCGAACAAAACCCTTGAAAATGTTGCCAAATCACTATGATACTAAAGTTAATTAACTAATGGTGTAATGTTGTTGTGTTTAAAACAACAGCCTTCATTTTCAATGCGTTTGTTCATTTCTAGTCAAGTGCTCTTTCTGATTAGATCAGTGACCAGTGTTCGTCCAAGCTATTGGTTCGATTTTTGGCAGAAGCTCATAATGCAAGAGCTTGTGCTGATCTCACCGAACGCAATCTGCGACCTTTTCACTGCTGAGCTAGCTTTTACTTCAAATAGCAGAGATTTATGAAGCTTATATCAAATTTTCTGATAAATGTCATTATATAACGTCACCCACGTCACGTTTTTCAGCTCGCATGAAATCTAAAACGATTTTGCTAGGCGTAAAAAAGCAAACACAAATCGGATTTTGTTGCAGCAACTTTTTCTGAGACGTTAGTGGTCCCAATGCATTCATCCTACTAGAGATATGAAGCTGTCGTAACACAATCGTCTCGAAATGATTGATCGGTTACTATCAAAAGTATTTACGCGCTGGCCTAAGTCGCTTGATGTTAGCCGGTTTCAACTAGAATGATTTCTTCTTCTGTTGGTTTCAGGTAGTCGTCCAGAAAATATGTTTTGATCAAACCGAAGTTTCCTTCGCTATGGTTTCCGGTCAATCGAGTCAATCAACTTCTCTTCTTATACAATGCATTTTTTTAAACCGTTGCTTTAAAATTTGTTCTTTTTTTTTGGACAGAAATGCCTACTTCTGTTTGTACGTGTAAAATCCGCAACGTTTATCTTTACGAAAGAAGAAAAATAAGTATGTTATAGTTTCTTGACTAAAGCCTTCTGTCTTAATTTTCTTGTCTCACTTTTTGCGTTCAGTGGCACATCTTTGAAACGACAATGAGTAGTGAGTGTGGCAACGCAAGGATCGGTCATCCAGAGATACCTGTGAGTAAACTGTGAAAAGGAAAGTCAGAAGGGAATAAGAAGTTAATATAAATCCGTACAGCAAGCGAAGGAGGGAAGAGGCAGGAGGGAATGGAGAAGGAAAAAAGAGAGAGAACTGGTCATACCATTCGTTTTCCGACCGATTGCGGTACTTCCCGTATGTGTAGTATTTCTGGCATTTGTCATTGTCATACGGTATCTTTGTGATCACCTGAATACGTCTTGCTCATTCTAAGTAGTTGAATGAGCGAACATGATGTTTTTTCTTATAACAGTACAGAGCTATCAATTACCCAACTACGAAGCACCGCCAAAAGGCCGTGTTCCACTAAACCATTACACACGAGGTAGATGCAAGTTTTCTAGACTCATAAGGGAAAATCCTAAACCGTAACCTTGCGTTATTCTTATAATCATTTGATTACCCGATCGAGGTGCAGTTGAAAGTTCTCTCGTTCCTGCCACTCATGTACACAAAGAGCACCCCTTTTACATTACGAACTATTTGTACTGTAGATGAGAAGACATGCATCGGCACTCTTAGGGTTTTGCTGATGACTGCACACGCTTGCCAATAGCTCTTAGAGTACTTTGTTGCTAATATGACGTTTTCTTTTCTTAAGGATGACGTCAAATGGTGCTTCGTTCCCACTTATTGCTACCATTGCCCGAGCTCATACATAATCTGTATCAACCAAGCATAGCCACTTATGCTCTATGGTCTCATGGCCGCTCGTCGTTTTGTTGTTATTTTTGCTTTTATCAAGTGTATCAGCTCTGATGCTGTTGATCACGGTGGACTCAAACGGGTTTTAACAAACCTTCCACTTCTCCTTGTCGCGTCAAGAGCAGCTCGTGGGTTCCTGGATTTTTTGTTTTCGTATCTGCTTGAATAACTGGACCTTTGGCTATTAGAGACGTAGTACGTATGCTCTTTGCTGAGTAGAAAGGGCATTCTCAGCTTATTATTGAAGAAGGAATAAATACGTATGGCTTGCAGACTAGATAGCTTATGACTCCGAATTGAAGTTGTTTCGTACAGACTAGAGGGTTAGCCGTGAGAGAGCAGTTGCCACCAATCCTTGCCAACATCTTTGTGTCCAACGTGGAGCCTCTACTTCTCAATCGTCGCCCTTTACTCCACTGTTAACACCAACAACAGCAACAGCGACAACGAAAACCTATACCAACTTCGCATCAACTCAAAGATTACTTTATAAGATCATATGAATAAATGCATAATCTGTCCTAGCAGGAGAGACAAGATTGCATGAGTTCAGGTACGATATGCTTCATCTCATGCGAGACATACGGTGAATGGCGAAACGGCTAGATTACTTCATATCCACATAAAGGAGCGTCTAGACAGGGAAACTTGAAGTTTGACAAAGTACTCCTCTAAGCACATGTAAGGCACAAAAGCTCAATGGTGAGGATTTTAAAGCGACAGTCCGGATCCTGGTCCAGTAATCAAAAACATCTGCGCGAAAGAATCTTAAAACGTTTTGGACAAATTTCAGAAGTCCAAAGATGACTGATAGACGAATGCCTCACCATCACGTGTGTGCTGGTACTTTAGTTCAGACTGGTTTTTTCGATCTGTGTGGGTTTCACTCGACATCCCACTTGAATAGTACACGAGTCGTCGGAAATCTTGCAAACTGGAAACGATGAGTTTGTTTTAATTGACTGCCGGTAATTTGCACACTAGATCTTCAGCAATGCCACGTTGAATTCACCGACTTAAACGAATAGATTTCCCTATAGGAGCTCACTGCTGAGTGAAGTTACTTCACTTGTGCGGTGCTCCACTGGATTCTACTCGATCCGATCGCGATGACTCCGAATTGAAGATGTTTCGTACATCAGAAGAGGTAGTGACTGTAGAAAACCGACTCAGGCCAGCGGCTCCGAGGAAAGCGAAGGCGCCGAAACGTTAACCAGACAAATTTTTTTAATTAGCTTTTGTTAGCTTATAAATGGAAAAAAATTTGATGTCAAATTAATAGAGTAACACAGAGTACGTCCAGAATATGAAGAAGGTAAAGTCAGAGAAATGTCAGCCATTAAGTTCCAGGAACATTTGATAACAACCTTGCGTCAGCTCGACAAAGGCAGTTTTAGGTCTTAAGCATGTCAATTAATAATGTTTAGCCTTATTGAAAGTGTTCCTTTCGAACTACTTCTTTTCATTTCTCCTTGCTTTGGAAGTTGTTTTTAACAACAAATTGTTTTACTTTCGTTTTTCTTGCACCTATCAGTTTAACTTATCTGAATTGCAAAAACAAAGTATAACTCGTAAAAGATTCACCGAAAGGTCGAATTCCGGTTCGCACCCGATTGGACAGGCCAAGCGTGTGGTCGAGTTTCGAGCCAACTGGTTCCACTCAAGCTGCGGCATTGGTTCACGACGGCACCTGAGCTTTTCTCATTTGTGATACGATTTTTACTCCCCATATTGGTCACTTTTGTCTTAGTGAGTAAAAAATCTTTTCCTGTGTTTGAATTAAGAAAAAATTTTTTCTACTGGACAATACTGCAGTGCTCCTAAAATCTAATGTTTAAGCAGCTGTTTAGTAAACTTTTTTTATTCTAAGCCACCCGTCTTCACGTTTACTGCGCGAATCTTAGCACTTCATGCATCAGAATCGTTTCCACGTATCCATCATCAACGAAGTTCTTCGAAGTTTTTGGTTATAGGTTCGACTGCTCTCTAAAGATTGTTGAGTTCTTTATGAAAGTCGTTAAAAGTGATCGTGTCGACTCTCTCTGGATTTCTGAGATAGTCGTGCTGGGTTCTTTCTGCGTGGATTAGAGAGAGTCATCTTGTTCTTGACTAGTCCTATATAAATTTCTATAACCCAGAGGAATGAGAGGAGTGGTGAATCAGGTGAGGACGGCTTATCAGCACCATGCTGGCGATGAAAGAACGTTAGTGTTTTTTATACAGTATCACATCACTTTAAAGCGTTTTACAGTGAAGAACTCTAGGGGAGTGTTGGCTGTCATTGAGAACTTCCACCACTGGTTATACTTTCTCAGTGCTCCCATCTGAAGTCTCACGTTTCGCTTCAGCGTAGCATTTTAAAGCCGATCTCATATTCGTATGTTAAGACGATCTAAAAGTGGTTATCACAGACATTTCCATAGTTCTACTAAGTATCGACTTTAATTTTGTTGTTGAAGGGCTCTAGAATAAAAGAAAATACTTAAATTTTCGACAGTATTAGGAAATTCGGAAGCATAATCCATTAATCAGCCAGATTTCTCGGAATAGCACTAAGATTTAATTTTACGGTACTTCGAAATGTAGCAGAAAAGTTGCTGGAAAAACAATGTAAACGTGAGGAAACGCTAATATCTATAGTGCTGGATGTGACGAATGCTTTGAAAGCATGAGATTTTAGTTTCAAAAGAAAATCATCACATCAAGGACTCTGAAGTCTTTCACTTCAACCACAACGTTGCTGAGATATTTGCAAAACTCTGGACCGCAGGTGTCTATGGTGGGGAACGAACGCGCTATTGTCCTTTCCGGGGGTGATTGCTGTGGCAAAAAGATCGATAGAAATAGCTGAGAGACGTGCGAAACAAAGGACCCGCATGGTGTGGTGGTGAACGCGTTACTCCCCGGAAAGGACAATAGCGCGTTCGTTCCCCACCATAGACACCTGCGGTCCAGAGTTTTGCAAATATCTCAGCAACGTTGTGGTTGTATTTCGCTTACTTAGTAACCTGCCATGAAAATTATAGAAGGCAGAAAACAAAACGTTAAAACATCTTTCACTTCACTTATCAAAAAGTCCTCGGACCATTACGGATGATGGAAACACTTGAAGCTAGTTTTCTGTGATTATATTATGTGACCAACCATACTTGTATTTTTTCGGATCCCGTGGAGGGTTCGCATCTGGAGCTATCAGAACGCAGTCGTCTTTCCTACCACTCGATAGACAATCAACAGTGCGTTTTTCTAAAACGACCACAACAACAACTTTAAAAAAAGAAGAAAGCTTCTACTCTTTGCTCTTTAGAGAGATGGAAAATGTAGTGGCTAGAGACAATATTTGCACAGTCACTGATTTGACCCAGTTTGTGGCAACCTTGGAAACAATCCGCCTGGAGTCAGTAAATTAGAGACGGACACGTCTACACTCGTTCCCTTTCATTAGGATCCATGGCAGTCTGTGGTGAAAAATTAATGAAAGGCTTAGCTAGGCTACCCTTTCGATTCCAGGTGAGCACAAATAGCTCAACAAGCACTGAACCAGCCTCCGTGCCCTGCACAGTGGGCGCTCCAGCTTGGCGTTGTGCGGTAAGACAGCCGGTAACAGGCAATTAAATCTGGAGTTGTATGAGATTCCATTCGAACCGGACCAAAATGAGTCCAAAGCCAAGGGGAGTCTTTCCTGCTTTACATTTATACCTGAACCAGTCTCTCATCCCGATCTTAACGTTCTTCCTGAGGTTCCGGATAGCATCGAATTCTAGGTGACCTTTTCACAACGAAACGAAAACAGAGAAAACCGACACAGACCAATTAAATGACTAGAAGGTTGTCATTCATGGAGAAAGATTTCTACCACTAAATACCGAAAACGGCAAACGGCAATTTTCGGCAAACGAAAAGAGATAGAGGACCAGTCAATTTATAATAGGGTGTCGAAATAAAAAAGCAAACGGTAGTGGAGTACTGCCAGCAGCACATTTCTTCTAGAAGGACTTCTTTTTCGGGAAGAAAGTCGTCTTTCCGAAAGAAACTAATCAAGGCACAAGTTATGCGGTGATCAATCATATTATCACAGACGCTAGGTGGTGCTTTTTTCTCTCCTTTTTGGTCACATCATGATGTATTAGGTCTGATCGCCTTCTTGGTGTGAAGATTAGGTTCAGCCATAAGCTTGAAAAAACTCTTGCCACCGCCATAGAAAGAGACAGTAAATGGTGTGAAACACTTTCACTGAAATTACCTTTTCATATAACTGGAAGATCCAGAAATGTCATGCCGAAGATTACGAGTTCTTTGAAGGAATTTAAATTTGTGTTGAACTCGCACATTATGCGAGAGTTGGGTTTGTGCTTCAACTGCAAGCTATACGCTGCACCCACCGAATGGTTGAGTCATGTCTTCTCGAATTTAACTGGCAAACACATACATTAGACGGAATTCCCAGCTTATCTCTTTACTATCCCATATTCAAGATCTAGGAATTGCACATAGAATCATCGATGAGGCTTCCTCTTAAAGGCCAAAATGGAGGATAGATAGAAGGAAGGAACTGTAGCTTAGAGACCAAGAGGCTGCAAGCGTTCTCTGAGACTACCACCCTACTCGATGGGTGGAAGTGAACGTTGGTCACGTCAACAGTCCGCATTCCCTAATGGAAACGAGTATGGATGTTCTTCGTGGACGTCACGTTATTCATTGAAGAACAGTGTCATGGGCAACGAGTGAGAGGAAAAAGAAGGGAATATATGGTGGAGGCCGCAATATTTATGAAGATGAGTGGGTCATTGAAGTGCCAATTATTCTATAATCACAATCTAACCACTTTCTATTAGGTGTTGATTGTTTTCCATAGCAAGGTGTGATGTGAAATATAAACACAATGATTCCGAAATATTTGCAAAACTCCGGACCACAGGTGTCTGTGGTGGAGATCGAACCCGCTGTTACACTTACCGGGGGCTAACGTTTTCACCAGCTCGTTATGTGAATCCTTCGTTTCGCTTTTCTCTCAGCTGTGTTTTTCAGATACTATCAGCGGTCACCCGTCAACAGAATTGATCTAAGAGAAAAGCTAGGCATTGAACCCATTTAAACTGAAGCTGCAGCACAAATCAGAAAGTGACCACCTTTTATTTACTGGCTATTAATAGCGTCTTTTACGGAGTTTTGCAAATATCTCAACATCAATGTACTTGCATTTCATATCATATTCTGCCATGAAGAAGAAGGGGCAGCAATCAAAACGTGGTTACATTGTGGTTTATAGTGCAGCTTTAGTCTAACTGGGTTCAATTCCGATTTGTGATACCCTGATCAAATCCGTTGACGGGTAACTGCTACAGTACTTGCAGATAGAAAACTAGTTGAGAGAAAGGCGGGGCGAAGGACCGTTCGATAGCCACCGCAGGCACCCACAAGCGGTCAGGAGTTTTGCAAATATCTCACCACCATTGTAGTTATTCTGCAATCATTATCTTTCTACAAACTCAGTTTTTCCTTGTGACAAGTTCATGAAGAAAAGATGGAAATTACTTCACTGCACTTTAAGACCTTAAGATTTTCACGATTTAACACAATCATTGTGAAGATGTGAACAGAACCGTCATACCACTATAGGGAGCTAGGACCGTGTAGACCAAATCGAAGTGAATCAAAAATTCGGTCAACAGAATACTTTTTTGCAAAAGCCATAGATAATGAAAAGTCTGATAGCGTACCCCAACGATTCCACGTAAAGTCATCCTGAGCATGAACAATTATTAGCGCAGTGATGAAGAGCACGAACATTCAGCAGTTCTATAGCGATTTGAGCGACAGCAGATAAAAAGACTAAAAATAATTTTGGGTCATTTTCCACAAAAACTGCCTTTAAATTATCTGACAGCTTAAAAAGCACGAGAACTATATCCCTAATTGCAAGAAATTATAGAAAATAGTAAAAATTACCAAAAAATGATTTGTTCTACGGAATGAGTAGTTTCCCATGTGTTAAAAGAAGCAGCTAGATTGTTTGCGTGTGCGCGCTCATAGAGGCTTAGAATAAATCACGTAATTATCTAATAAATCAATTAATGGTTTAGAGACAAGTGGGACTAATTTTTGCTGCAAAAAAGAGACCCAAATAAATAAGAGACTCACGTCTTGTGTTTAGGTTTCAATCCACTTGTGCCTACAGCTTAGTGGGGCAGAATTCGTGGCGCTGGATCCGGGATATCAGATCGGACGGCAATCAAACAAGTCGCTCCTTTATAGAAAACTCGTCCTATCGTCGTAAATCTAGCGTGATCGCCTTTCCTCACTAAAACCATTCCTTACAAGAATGACAATCTCACAGCTCATCGTACATATAATGTCATTGCCTTGCTACACGTGCCGCATCACAAGGCGAACTACTTGGAGAATCAATATTTTTCAAACTGGTCTTCATTTAACATTGGCATTAACAACAAATGCAGTTCTGGACTATTAAGCTAATGAGGTTGATAAAAAGGTTTATTCTGCTAACGTTTCGACGTTCTCGCCTTTCTCAGAACCAATAATTCGAGTCGATGGTTCACGGTCATTGGTCTTCTCGATGTGGTTCTTCGCTGATGTTGATTATAATATCGACTGCTGAAGGATGGTCTTGCAGCTGAGAAGCAATTTACTATCAAAGGACAATGAGTATCATC